ATTAGTGTGACTTGTATTTTTCATCCATAAAATTATGTAATTTTCTTTTAACCAACTCCAATAATGTTATTGAATTTTATGATGACCTGCAATTATTTCAAAAATATAAATAATAGAGTCAACCAATCCTAGTTAATCCTATCATCGGGGCTTCATATCATTGGTTAATAGCATGCAAAGCACGCTCTAAAAAGGAATAAAATACGGGCAGAAGGGCTTATAAGATCTGGAAAAAAAATGTAATAAATAAAAGCTAGATAACTAGCTAAATTTAAAAAGATTAAGAAAATTAATTAAATTAGTTATTTGTAACAAGCTTTCTCTCAACTACTTTAACTATATTCATTAGCATTATCCTTTGTTAGAACCCCCTATAATTAATAAGAATATTCATTTAGGAATTATCTGTTACCTCTCTCCCCCGCCAATGTAAAGAATTTTAAATAATTAACCATAGTAATATTCAAATAAACATTTTGAAAATATCACAGTAAAGATAATAATCTCCAGCTACTTCTCACTACGTGATGCGACTTTTCTACAAAAATGCTTTTGAAAAGTATTTTTTTACAAATCGAGTCAAGCTATTTCACATATTAATTTGGTATACCGTAAAAATATTTTTAAAATTATAGTTTTGTTTCCTCCATAATGAGGGTCTGCCTTTCTAGATTCTTGATTATTTGGTTCAAAAAAAATAATTAACAACTCTGTTTTATGATGGTTGGATCAAAGAAGGAATGCGATTTTCTTAAGATAAGGTTAAAAATGTAAATATAGGGAATAAAAAATTAAGCTTAATGCACAGAAGAAAGATCTATCTACCACCGGTCCAAGGAAAGCTGAACTGGATTTAGGTTAGAATTTTAAATTTTTTCCCCAATCATTTCTCTTTCTAGAATTTCTAATCAAACGGTTATCATCATCTAAATTTTGCAGATGTGTCTGGTCTTGTTTTAAAATAGTCGTCAATATAAAACAAATAAAAATATGTAATCTGATTAATATTGAACCGATCGACGAGTCTGTCCAATTCGATCGCGTCGATGTTTGTGTATGCGTGCGAACTGCGAAGTCCCCTCATTTGCCGGATCAAAGCGGAAACATTGCTCTTGGCCATCATGGGGTCATTTTTATTAGAAATAACTTATTTTTACAAATATATTAAATTGATAAAAAAAATTTAAAAGTATTTTTATTTAAATTTTTTTCTCTACATTTACAAATCACACTCACATTTTTCTTTTTTCAACAAAAAATAGGCCTAATTTTATTCTTAGTTAAGAATACTTTATACTATTTAGGACAGGATATAATAGTAAACGAAGGCTAACGAGATGCGGACCTTGCGGAGGCGACTTCACATGGATACCGTACGTTTGAAATGGAGTAAAATAGCAACAGTCTGGCTTTCTAGATTCTTGATTATTTGGTCAAAAAACAGTTTGTTTAAACAATTAACAACTATGTTACCAACAAGAGTTGGTCTAGTTAGTAAGGAGTTGGCTCATAACCCACAAAATCGTGAGTTTGAATCCCGCTGCCGATGTGAAAACTTTGTTGGTGGGCGATCTATAAGTACCTCTGTAAACATTCTTTGAGCTTGGAGACATATCCTGGTCCTGGTGAGCTCCCGAGACCCAACTTACCTAAACTTTTTTTTAACCAAAAAAAAATAACAACTATGTTTAGTGATTGTTGGATCAAAGAAAGAATTCGATTTTCTTAAGATAAGACTGAGAATTTAAATAGTAACATAATGCACACAAGAATGACCTGTCGGCCCCCTGTCCAGAGAAAGTTAGTGGTTCATGGAACCAACTGGGTTTAGATTAGAAATATTAAATTTATTTTCCCCAGTCATTTCTCTTTCTAGAATTTGTAATCGAAAGATTATCTTCATCCAAATTTTGCAGATACGTCCAGTCTTAATTTAAAATAGTCTTAATTTACTTTGTCTCTCATATTTATCAATCCTTGTAATAGTGATAGTTCTAGCTAATATACTTGATTAATAAAAATATTTTATGATATTTATTATAAATAACTAACTTTACTAATTTTTTTAATCTATTCAAATTAGTCAATTAGTTGTTATATTTAGTACTGGAGGTAGTATATCATTGTTTAGATCAATTCTATGGGCGCACCAGCTGCATGCTCTTGTCATATTGTATGTAGTTAGCCAAACTTTTACGAACCTTAGCTTTCTCTCTCTCTCTCTTTTTTTTTTTTTAAATTTCCAGATATAAGTATCTTTTTATTGGAGGTAATTTTATTTGAGGCATATTCCCTTCTCTTGTTAATTGAGTATTACATGTTTTTGGGGTAATCACGGATAGATTTTCCGGAAAAAAGAAAGAAAGAAGGACCATATAATATTATGATGGGCCTAGTTAGCCTTTTATGCCGTACAAAAAGAATAGATTGGGCTTCAAAAAACATAGGCCCTCACAGATTCTTGGGCTTTACCCATTAATTATTTCAGAACAAATGGATGAAAATGTATAAAAGTTTAGAACCTGAAATCATTTTAAATTGTTTATTTGATCCTTTTGCTATCCCTCCATTATTTTAGTCAGCCTTGTTTTTGCCAGCCGTATTATACCATTAATGAACTAACAGAGTTTGAATAGTCTCATCTCAGGAATTTAATATAATGTCACAAAGTGACCAAACTATAACGTATCATCACTCAATATTGAAACGTGATAGTTACAATTCTAATACTCTACATTATACACCGCATTTAAATGATAAACAAAAGTATAGTATTGCTCACTTGGTGGATGTGATGGCTCATTCTAGGTGACACAGGAAAGCATCTCTCTGCAATCATGTAATTGAATTTTGATGACTAGCAATTTTTCCAAAATTAATGGAATCAACCAGTCCAAGTTGATCCTATCATTGGGTGCGATAAGAGGTAAAATATATTATTGATTTTCTTGGTTTTGCTAAAATTATAAAGAGCTTTATTCTTTTTAAAACTTATGTTTGAGTTCACAAAATTAATTTTAAGACTTAAGCAAGAATGCAAATTTTCAATTACGATCTTCATTTTTCTAACAGAAGAACAATTATTTTATTTATAAGATGGCAAATAAAAATAGTCAAATAATTGTGTTTTGGTAAAAATAAATACAAATCACATAAAGTTATTTAACTCATAAGGAGAGTGTTCTTAAGCACGACTGAAACAGTATACTATGGTTGTTTTTGCAGGGTTGCCAACATATTATTGCTGTTGTTTTCGGTAGTTCCGGACCCTGTAAAATTTCTTCTTGCTTCAGCTTTACATTTTTATTGCTCCATTCACAATGTATTCTTTTTCAGGTTCCTTTGTCATATATTTTCTGGTTATTTATTTAGCTGATATCGGCTCTGCTATATATCAGCCATGGGATCTATAACCAGTTGGCTATCTATATAAAAACACACCCCATTGGTCCTATTTATAAGGTAGAAAGAGTTATCTTTCTTTCTTTTTTTTCTCATATTTGTAGCCGATTCCACTCAACCCGATTTGCTCCGATGCAATCAAATTTCTCCATTTTACTTCTGTTGCTTCTTTTAATTGCAGCGTCGGGATTACCAGTTCTTGCTGCCTATCATTAAGTTCTATTCTGAATTCGAACTTGTCCAGGAATTCCTCTAGCGCAGAAGCCACAATTCCCGTTCTGTTATTGCCTGCAGTGTGTTGCAAATTTGGGGACTACTTCACTGATTACTCAAATAATAGTTTTAAATTGTTTGGCCTCATCATGGTCAACTTCCTGGGAAAGTTCAAGTAGATAGCCAAGTTCTTGTTGCTGAGCAGCCAGCTGATAGTGAAACTTATGAAATTAAAGTCCACCATATATCCTTAATTAATCCAGAGCTTGTAATCTTGTGATAGATCGAGTTGAGGCAACTTGGGATTGAGCATCTGAAAGAGAGTGAAAGGCTCAATGCATTCGGGGAGTTGGTTGATAAAGCACAAGGGAATGGAAGTTCGAGAGTCGATTCATATCTAAGTTACTTCATGAATCATTAACTCACTCCTTTTTTTCCATAGTATACCTATTACAATTTATTAGAAAAACTTCAAGTATGAGATAATGTTCTTTAATAGTCTTAATAAAATAAAATTACAAAAAGAAAGGTTTATGAAAACCAGAATAATTTGCCTTTGCAAATTTTTATTTTTAAATTTTTCAAAATATAAAATATATTAAGAGAACTAGAGAACAGAAAAATGTATATAACACGTCAGAAGATGTTATCCATACAACACAATTACGGCCGCGTTTAACTTCAAATAAGCAGACAAAGGTATATCATAATTGAATGAATGATGCTATGCTAACAAGCATAGCGTCTCTATCTTCATGGTTCCAGTCCTTTTACTTTTCTTATGCTAACAATGATTTGTATTTATTTATCTGAACAAATTTCAAAAGTCTTCACTTGTGCAGGCTACGATTTTTACCATGGCCTTTTCCCACTGGTTTGATCAAATCAATTCTCAGTTGCGTCCACCTATTGTGAAGGAAAAACTACATCCAAAAGTTAAGCATCCACCTAAAAACCTTGCACTGATATTAGCAATTGAGATTAATAATATCTCTCACTGTTTTTCTGGCAAAAGTCTTTCACTGAGATGCCCAGACAAGTTCATTTCATCAGCAAAAACATTTTTCTTTCCAAATTTTGGTTCACTTCTGCTTTGACTAATTCAGATTTTATTTAGCAACGCGGTATGCTGCTGCAAGTTTCACGTTGCTGTGTTTTACAAATAAAGTGGAGTTTATGAGTTTACGAACTCTCCCCTTAAACTTGTATTTATAACATTCGTACTTTTAATGGCAGATGCATGCTCATGGAGAGATAGTCCTAGAGGTGAATTTGAAAATATTACATCATTCACTTGACTAATTAAAACAAAAAGGAACATGGGTTTTTATTCAACGCTAGCATCCAAGTGAACATAATGAATTCCCTACATGCTTTTCTAAATCTCACTGGCCACGTGCTGCATAAACGACCTGCATAACAGTGAGAATAAGCAGAATTGTGCCGTAAACAACTCCGACGATCTTCCATGGAGCCTTCAAATAGGTACGTTGGAGCGCGCCAAGATAGGTTGTTGATAGTCTGTGTCGAAGCCATTCCAGAAATCGCCACAAATAATGCCCCGGCATTTTGAAAATGACACAACATCCATTCACCTTCGCTTTGTTCAATCTCTTACATACTTTTCTGTATCTCCCATCCATTTTTTCCTCCCCGGTTGTGATGCTTCGGAACATCTTCACCAAATCCTTGTCCTTGATGACCTCGTTTTGCACTTTTATGACTCCTTTGTGTTCAAGCAGTTTGAGGTCATGAACAGAACAGACCAAACCTTTGAAAAAATAAGCGTAGGAGGTGAATTTGTAGCCGATTTCAGTCAACCCGATTTGCTCCCAAGCAATCAAGTTCCTCCATTTCACTTCTGTTGCTTCTTTTATGTGCAGCGTCGGGATGATCAGTTCTCGCTTCCTCTCATTAAATTCTATTTTGAATTCGAACTTGTCCATGAATTTCCTTAGCACAGAAGCCGCATTTTCTTCCGACTCGTCATCGCCTGCAAGGTTGCAAATTTAATTTGGTGAGGAGGTGGCTCGCTTTTAAAGATGAAATCCAAGTTCACTGATAACTCAAATACTGGTAGTATAGTAGTAATAATTAGGTTAAATTACTTTAACAACATATTACCTTGAGCATCGGTAGTTTGTTTAGCCTTGGCCTTAATTGTGATTCCCAAAGCTTGGAGCTTTCTAGCGCAGCGCTGCAGTTTTCGTGGATGTTTCCTGCGTTCCTCTTCCGGATAGGGATCAGGGGAGCACAAGTGGATGAGATGAAGGAAATGATAAACACCTTTGGAGAAGTCAGCGCGGGCATCGTTGCATTCAAGGAGTGACTTGGCAATATTTTCCGGAGAAAGTTTGAACTCATTGAAAAGGTGATGAGAAAGTGCATGCTGAGGGTCGGGTAGTCCGGGTCGCTGAGCAGCATCCGGAAGTTTGAGAAGTGTTGAGGACAAAGTTGAGAGAACGATAAAAGGGATTTGGTTCTCGAGCAGCGTGAGATCTGTGAGAAATTGTAACACATATTTCTGTTCAACAGGTTCCTTAGGCTCAGTGAGCCTAAGCAGAAGCTCTAAGAGAAAGCAACCATCAAGTAACATCATTCTGGCAAACTCCTCTTCTCCCATTTCTATTTTCTCCCCATAGCTCGCTCGAATTATGCTCCCTCTGCCTTTCACGGCCTTACTGCATCTTTCAACGCTCAACGAATTGTTCTGCGTTCGAACCGCAAGAAGAGAGCGCATGAACTGCCATTTGGTCAATTCATGGATTTGCAGGTCGTTGCTGGTGCCCCTGTGGAAGGGTCCCATGGCAACGAGCTGAGGCCTGTAACTATACCCTTGGTCTTCGGCTGGTCGAATTTTCTCTGGAACCCTGCAAATGCTGCCTGTCTTTACTTTATCGTCTTCTACGCATCCCAGCACCGTCTCAATATCAACGATCCATTTATCATCGGGATCATGAACTTCTTTACACTGCGTTCCTGCCCCTGGCATTAGGCCTTACAAACAACATTATTAAGTTAAGAAGTGAAACAAAATAGAAAGAATGACATAGTGGGAAATTAATTACAACGATCCATTCATTAACTGCTTGATTTCGGCGGCTTCGCCAAAGTGGTCGCATCTGATCTGCCCTTGTGAGCCTCATATCGTCTCCTTTATTTATAACCACACTTGGACTCACCCCGCCAGATTAAAAATAAAAACAAAAACAATACTCATAAAATAAAAAGACACATCGAATCGAATAAGAAATTTTAAATTTCAAACTATATTATATTATATCTAAAAATCAAGATATCGCTTTAATTTTTCTAATGAATAACTAAAGTATTATTTATTCCTATTTCAAGTTATATATAATTTTTAAATTATTATAACATTAAAAAGTTATAATTTAAACATCTAGTTAAGTCTAGCAAAAAGAAAAAGAGAGAAACTAAATCTTACAATATTCAATATACCACATGTGGGTGGAAGATGTGTTGAGTTATACCTAGCTCACACTTCTAAATTAGAGTATAAATCAAATAAAAGTAGGGCTATTATGTGAATAAAAGAAGGGTCCAGAAAGATAATTTTATTTTTATGATTCTATATAACCAGAGGCCCTTAGCAGTGGGATATGAGTTAAGATACAATTTTTCATATGTAAGTGCAGGATGCTCTCTCGACTCTCGCCCTCAAAGTTTTCTTCTCTCTCTTCAGTGTTATTTGCAGAGTTGCGCTATCGAAGTCCAAATCGATGCTCCAGTCTCGTGTGGGCAAGACCATGTGGAGGGTTTCCAGGTACGCCCGAAATCCTTTATTTGATGTTGATATCGAGATGACTACGAGCTCTTCTGAAAGTTTGAAAAAACCGTCAGGTTATGACGAAGAGAAAAAGGGAGGAAAGGGGTACAAGGATTATTATAACGAGAAAATGCGTAAAAAGCTGGAGAACCCGATGGGAACATGGGAAAAAGAACCATCTCCATCACCCGCTATAGAAATTATTGCAGTGAAGATTCAGCTCGCCAAGAAACAGGCTGAGAAGGCCGCAAAGTTGTTGTCTGAAGCGGAGCAACTACTCCCTGAGGAACTACTCTAATTTGCTGCAGCTCGCATATATGTGATATGCTTAGGTTTTATCTCAGTGTTTCAATAAGGCTCCAGCCAGTAGTCTTATTTCCTTTTAGTGTCCTTTTGTTCTATCTTCTGGTGTGCATATGTATGTGTAAGATGTTTCTCCCTTCTGCTAATGAATAAGAGGGCTCTGTTGGGTTAACCATAGAGAAAGCCTGTTGTTTATATTTCTACCTGCATGCGTATGTTGATTTGATCAAGCTAGCTAATTGATCTATGAGGTTGCGGAGTTTTCTGATCTGATTTAATGCGTCAATTCCCTTCTCCAAAACCAAAAGTGCTTGCAATTGGGATTTTTCTCTTTCCTTCCCTTTCCTTCTTTCAAAGTATATTCTTAATTGGCACCAAAATGCGAACTTTAATTTGCGAGGTGTTGCCTTTTTTATTAAGTTTATACTCTCTCTCCGATCCCTTAAATAGTGTTCTTTTAGAACGAATTAACGGTGAATACCATTATTTTTATATTTTGAATTAGTAACAACCAGTGATGCGTCTGGACTCCCCCCCCCCCCCCCCAAAAAAAATAAGCATGAGGTCATTTTAGTAATCACATGAGAAAAATAGCTCCTCCAGTCCAAATCTCCACGATGTTGGCACCAGTGCGTTCAAATGAGACGTGATGCAGAGTTGACCCCAAAAAGAAGGTCGGAGGAGGAATCAACTTTAATTACCTTTTGGCACCACAATTTTTTTGAATAGATAATTGAAGAAATTAACCTAATATTTGGTATAAGAAAAATAAAGAGAAAGAAAGTGGAGAAAAAATTTTAATGAGATGGATCTAAAAAGTTCAAGAAATGGAGTTTTAAAATTTTAATAAAGAGAATATAAATGAATCATAAAAATTAATTAAACACTTTTAGTTTCATTTTTTAATTTTTTAAATTGAGCTAATTAAATTCGGGAGAATTACAATGAGGTCTAAAGAAGAAAATGAATTAAGTTCATACTCTCTCTTTCTCTGATCCCTTACTTAGTGTTCTTTTAGGAAGAATTAACGGTGAATACCATTATTTTTATATTGTGAATTAGTGGTGCAGAGTTTTTTTTCCCCACTTTTTACACAACAGACGTGAAAGCAAATGCATTACTAGACTAACGTAATGTTTGGTTGGGAGTTTTACGAGTGGAGGGGAGGCGGAGGTGGGGTGGGTGAACCTTGTTTAGTTCAATAAATTAGAGGGAAGGGGAAGAAATTTTTTTGTCTTTTTCTGTTCCCCTTCCCTCCTCTCTGTTTTTTTTTTTTTAAAGTGGGGTTTTTTTTTTTGAGGGGAGAGAATTTATTTGTTCTCGTTACCTACACTATTGTTTTGATATTCCAAGTCTATCCTTAGCAATTTCAACCTGCTCTTGATTATGACACTTAGTATTATTATTATTATTATATATGTTATAATACAATTATAAAATATAATTATACATACAAGTATAACTATAATTTATATATATTTTTGCCAACAACTATAATTTATATATATTAAGTATTAATTAAATTCCATTTATCATTATACTTTATTAAGGATTGTACAAAATTTAAAAAAATAACTTAAGATAACATAAGAATAAAATGGTCCATATAAAAATTTCTCCCCTCCATCTCCTTCCCTCTAATAAAATCTCTTTCCTCCCTTTTCTTCTCTTCCCTTTCATTAAAATCCCTCCCTATGCCTTTCCTTCCTTGAACCAAATCAAGGGAGAGGAGGAAAGATATTTTAAGAGAAATTTTAGTATTATTTTGTTTGGATTAAGAAAAATAGAGTAAATATGAGAGATTTTAATATTATATTATTTAGCAGCTCACAAAAACAATATTATATTATTTAGTTTAGGAGGAGAAGTAAACGAAAATATTTTAATTGCTCTCATTTAAGAAAAATTTCGGTTAGCGCCCTCTGAACAAACTTAATTTTCAATTCTCCTATAAGATTTCGGAAGGGCGCAACTTCATCATATATACCCCCTTGACTAAAATAGAATTACATATTATGATTGAAAAGACAATTATATCCTTATGTTATTTTTAAAAAAAAAAAAAGATCAACTGCTATCGGAGTGCTGGTTAAACCTTCAAATGGTTCAGTTTCTTTTCAATTTAGAGTTTTAGTTTTTTTTTAAATTGTAAAAAGATTAAAAATTGAGCCGTGTTTTGTGCATAAGATATCAAAATATTACTTATCTTATGTAAAATTTAATCACAGAAGAAAAAATACTGAGGAACCAAAAAATGAGGCAACTGGAGGGGCACCGCTGGCAACCCTTATCCATAGAGTCCATTCAATAGGGTGTATGTTTGGCGCAGCGAAACAGCAGGCAAAAGTAACTTATGTGATCATGCGTTTGATCTCCTGGGGGCATTTTGTAAATTAACATCAAATTTGCCCTCCTCCTCTTCTCACTCATACATTGTTTTTTTTTTTAAATTTTCAAAATTTTTAATAATACAATGTTCTAAAAAAATTATTATATTATAAATAACTTTATATTCTATTAAATGAAAATAATTTTTGACATAGTTTTTTATAAGATTTTTATTTTAAATATTATTTTTTTATTTTTTATTTACATATGTGTAGGGTATATCTGATTATGCGATATTATTTGGTTCAAAAATTCTTGCCTTACCATCATTTCTTTTTTAAATATATTTGATTTATTAAATTTAACTTCTTTCTATTAAAATAATTTAAAATTATTATATTTTGTAAATTCATATTAGTTATCATTTTTTTATTGAAATATTAGTTATCATTTTTCATTAGTTAATAAAAGTCATACATATTTTGATCATTTTACAAACTAAACTCACTTATTTAATTACAATGCAAACAATTTTTGCTTTTACAAACTAACTTTTATAAAAGTCAATCCAAATATAAATCATATTACCCAACCTAACTTTTTTTTTTTTTTTAACTGCTAATCTAAACGGGTCGGGGTCCGGCTTCTCATTCGCTGCATGTCCACCGCCTTAAAACAACAGGGTTCACCTCTCCAGTGCCAATCCCTTCGCCATCATCCATGACAGCCTCGCATACTGTAGCTTCGAGAATCGAATTACAGGATGCAAATATTAAAAAAAAAATGGTGGGGCCGGGGGATGACAGGATGCAAAAAATTTAAGAAAAATTTCATTTGAGAACCGTTGTGGCCAATTTACATCCGTCAACCCTCAATATATTCTAAAACTTCAGTCAACCCCCAAAACATTCTAAAACTTCAGTCAACCCCCTTTAGACCAAAATGAAATTAAAATTAAGAGTAAGATTATAATAATATTCCTTATTTTTATTTTTTAAAAAATAAATATTAATTGTAGCTGAAATTTCAACCATCGGCGCTCAAATGGCCGCTGTAGGAGGTTGGAGCTCTGGTGGCCATCACTGTAGCTTCGGTGGCTGGAGGTATTTTTTTAAAAAATAAAGTGGCCAAAACAAATTTTGAACCCATGACATATTAGCAAACTAAAAAATAAAAATGATGTGATTGTTAAGCCGGCCAAACCATTTAATTATATTGTGTAAATATATATATGTATATATATAACAAAACAAATGCTTTCAACGCTACAGTGTGCGAGGCTGTAACGGATGTTAACAAAGAGACTGGCACTGGAGAGGTGAGCGCAATAAATGGGAATGGCAGTGGGGACTCCATTACCCCACTCCGTGTCCCCAAATTATCTTGTTAAGGAATATTAACTAAGTTGCGAGTTTATATTACATTACCCCAATCCGTGTCCCCAAATTTGGATGGATGCTTCCTGAAGCAAGAACAATGAGTGAGTGTAAGCCAAATTATATGTTGTTTATTACAATGTTCTTTGAATTATGGGGCCTATCCGTGTTATCTCTCGGGAAAATTAGCCAAAA